CTTCAAGAAGGATGCTTGGAACCAAGTTCAGAGGAGGGTGACAAGGCTGATCAGGGGGCTGGAAACCAAGCCTTACGAGGAAAGGCTGAGAGAACTGGGCATGTTTAGCCTTGAGAAAAGAAGGCTGAGGGGTGATAGGATAGCACTTCATAAATACTTGAAATACTATCATCCAGAGAAGGGTCAAGATCTGTTCTCCATCATCCCAGAGTGCAGGACACGTAACAATGGGCTCAAGCTACAGGAAGCCAGATGTAGGCTGAGTATCAGGAAAAACGTCTTAACTGTTAGAGCAGTACGACAATGGAACCAATTTTTGGGGGGGAGTCGGTGAGCACTTCAATGCTGGAGACACTGAAATGTCGATGACCACCTGGCAGATGCCTTGAGCAAATGAGCAAGGGGATTGAACTCAATGGCCTTATAGGCTTCTTCCAACTTTGTGATTCTATGATTCTACAATCTTACCTTGGTGGCAGTTTGGGGCCATGCAGGTAGGTGCCGCATAGCTTCTTCACGTAACTCATGTCCACGTTTTGGAAGTTGTGCCCTGCCTTTAGCAAGGGAAAAGAGAGACAGCACAAGTGAGAGAGATGTTAAAAAACATTGGAAAAGGACATTGGGAAACATTTCTCATGTAGTCTCTGGAGGAGATTTCCAATTTGCCACTATCCGAGGACGTGCCATGGGGCTTGGGGTGCCCCTGACACCTTCTCCCATGCACCTCAACTTTGTGAGTCTCAAGGAATCTTACCATTTCTACAGGGCAGCCAGGGACTGGGGTGGTTTTCTTACTGACGAAAGACGTCAGAACAACACGGAGGTGAGAGGATCTGCTCTACCCCCTGCCAATTTGAGGGCTTTCACTCCCTATAATTCAGCTGAGGGCGCGGGTTCTCACCAAATTTTGGCTATTTTATGCTTTCAGTTGTAATTTATTGTACTGCATTTGTTCTCACTGCACATTGTGGTATTTGATTTATGCCCCAATTGTAGTGATATTGTATTATTTTGTTTTTCTGTTGTTGTTTTTGTTGTAAATCAGAGTGCCCCTGGCTGCCAGATGGGTGTTATATAAATCAAAATCAATCAACCAATATTGTTGTTGTTTAGTCGTTAAATCATGTCAGACTCTTCGTGACCCCATGGACCAGAGCACGCCAGACCCTCCTGTCTTCCACTGCCTCCCGGAGTTGGGTCAAATTCATGTTGGTCGCTTCGATGACCCTGTCCATCCATTTCGTCCTCCTTCATCCCCTTCTCCTCTTGCCTTCACACTTTC